TAAGATAATATAGATCTATATTATCTTATATTATATTATCTTATAGATCTATATTATCTTACTCCTTGTAATATCTATATAATATATCCAGCCTCAACTTGAAATTGTTTTTATATTTCAGACCGTTTACGATGGCTAGATCGACAACGGATAGCTATTCGGTACACCTAGAAACAATAAAAAATATAGCAGATTTTAAAACTAGGACTGAGGCACACTTTACCTGGCTCGAAGAAATTCTTGTGGAATCAAAGAGAGCATTTGCCAGGTATGTCTATGATATATCATGGTGGTTTAACTACAGGCCAATGGAATTCAGTTTGATTTTACGGCCCTAGTAGCAACCATAGCATTGTTCCTCACTGTTTTATTAAAGGGATCGTTTACACTAGGTTCTAGGGTTATTTTCAGTTAATTTAGGTTAAAATTACGCTACATAAAAAGTTTCATGGTTCAATCACCATTATTATTAAAAAATGTTTTAAAACTAACGACTATACAGTTTGATTACAACGACAGTGGCGCCACTCAAAGCGCACGATCTGATGAGTTGCGCAAAACCACTTTTCAGCTAAGGGCTACAGACCGAGGGTGTTTCTTATTTATTAATTTAAAAGCAAAAGGATGTATGTAATATCTTATAAACGACATATAGTTTCAGTTATAATATGGATAAATTTGCTCTAAAATGAATATCGTTCGGTTAAATAGCATTTAGGTATAAATATAATTGCACTTTTGTGATTAGCCCTCGGTCTGTAACGTGCAAAATAAATTGTCAAATGCGCATTTTTATGGGGGTGGCAGCACGGCCGCGGGTGTCATGGCGCCATTCAAATTTCGTAGCGTTGATGTGTAATTAATTATAACAATTAAATTAGGTATCTGGCAACAAATACGTGTGGGTATAGACGATTTGTTACACAGTAAGTACAGTTGTATGCAGTAAAATCCTAGAGTCTACTTATCCCTTTAAGCTAGGAGGAATAGACATGTATATTCTCCCTGCTCCATTCCTTACTTCATGTAACGACCAATATGGGACTTGAATTTCCTCCATGGCACTAAAAGCAAGTGACCTGGTTGCTCTCCTTACTTGCCGCTGAGCACAGTTGAACAGTGCTCACTACAATGCACCCCACTGGCTGCTCTATCTGGTTTGCATCCATGCCCTTCACATGAATCCCATGTAATGTATATATCCATCCCTTATTGCTCTACGTAAAAGGTATTGTCGTTCAAATTTACATGAACAATAACAGTGAAATCACTATACATGGCCACATTGTTTTAAAATAACTGTCACAATGGTAGTGTTTGTCTTTGCTTAAGCAAAAGAAATGCTTATAAGGTTTTTGGTGGACCTGTGTTAGAACTTCAAACAAAGTGAGTTGAAGCCAAGAAATGTGACTAATACTATGTTGTGAGAATTTTGACTTATAGGAAGATAATTATGGACATTTAAATACAATATCTAGGGTGTTCATGTGATTTTGATAATTTATTATAGGTAGCGAATAGTGTGAGTTCATGTATAACATGTACATCCTTGTTTTACATCAATCATAATCAATATATTTTCAAGGCCTGATATTGAGCCACTCCCTAAGACACCAGGCACAAAACGGGGAAGATGCCGTCAGATTAAAGCTGTGCCAAAATACTGTAATGAAGATGAAGATGAAAACAACGACAGCCTCAGGTACTCGTATACTAGAACCGTAATGAAACGTCAGTTAATCTCTATTCAACGTGCCATCACAGCAGATTTCATTTCAGTCTTGAAAGGCTTGCTAACAAATCTTTCGCATACGTACTTACAGCAAAGCCACGCATGAGCCCAAGGCAAGGCGCAAGCTGACCGTCGAGACTCATGTGGATGCTGCATTGTCTATCCCCGACGATGCCATCGCAGAAGAGGGGAGTGATGTGGTATTGGAGTGTAAAAGAGGTCGGCCACAGCGGGTTGCTTCTCCCATTGCCTCCATGAAGTGGTCTATGCAGCTGGAGATTATGAAGCGTAAAAGGCTTCCGAGTCAGCAGCGACTGGCATCTATGTCAGCAACGTGCTTGGCCGAAGTTGAGCGTATCAAGCCTAACCAAAACAAGCTTCGCAATGTGGCGTTTAGTGAGCAGCCACCACAACAACAAGCAGAACCCCAAGATGCACCAGTGGTGGAATTGCACTCAGACAGTGACAAAGAGAGTGAGGCAGAAGTTGAGCCTGTTCCCAAGAAGAAGCCAAAAAGATGCAAGTTAAGTAGAAAGAAAAGAAATGCCAAATCATCAATTATACATATAGGTGAGTTTTAAAGATTAGACATGTGTTTGTAGATAAGTTATCATGTAAAAGAATAATCTATAAAGTTTGCATTGTATAAATGTTTCTAGTATCTTTATAATTTACAATTAAAATGCAATTGTACAGTGTATACAAACGAAATGTATTGTGCAGCTTTACTAACATATTGATGCGTGTAATTTTTGCAGTGGAAAGTGACACTGAAGAGGAACCTTTGGCAGAGGAACTCGGATGCTCGGATAGTACAAACAGTGATGTCTTCGAGGCAGGTAGTCCAACTGAAACTGAGCAGGCTATGGCCGTTGGTGTTGCACTTAGTCCTGTCATTGTTTTAGATCGAATTGAAGTGTTTGATCCTGAAACTCCAAAAGTCTCAAAGCCATTGAATCAGGTAGTAGATATCAAGCCTGCTGCAGATGAGATCCACGTCTCGAAAGCTGCAATCACTGACACAGTCTCCACACCAACAACACAGCTGCTTTTAGGTCAATCAAGTAAGCAAATGACCCCCACAACGCCGACTGAAAGGTTCTCACCTTACGCAAGTCCACCAGTCAAATCTAGAGTAAAGGCTTTCGAAGCCATCGCAGAGAATGCGAGCATTGTAAACATATCACACAGTTCTGCAGCCAATACGAGTGTGAACAAGTCTATTCTGATGCACCAGTCAGAGTCTGTCTCCTCGTCACCAGTTGATCCAAAAATGATGTCCGCAAAAGTGATGGTGACAAACATTGTGTGCGCGATTAAGCACAAGTACCATCAGATTATTGGAACACCCGAGAAAGCAGATTGCAGCATGGAGCAGTCGTCTGTCATTCATGCATCGTCAGACACCGACGGAGAGCAAGCCACAGAAAAGTCCGCACAAACGAATGTGATAAAACCGGATAGCAACGAGCCGCATGCCCCATTGGAGATGATCGTGGAAGACAGCGTCGAGCGAGTTTGCGGTGCTGTGGATAAAGAAGCGATAGTTTCCCTGCATAACCTTAGCAAACAGGAAATTGCTGAAATCCAGCGACCTTCGTTGAGCGGTGACACCACTGAAGTATGTCGGTTGAGCAATGAGAGAAGGTCGGCGGGGCGTAGCAGTGTGTCGAGGAGGTCTGGGCGACGAAGTAGTGTATCAAGAAGGTCAGGGCGGCTCAGTAGTGCCATGCTGAACCGTGCGTCCCTGCAGCATGGCCACAGACGCTCCTCCCTGCTTGGCAAGAAGCTGATGAAACAAGCGGAGGAGATGCAAATGATAAAAGATGTGAAACAGGCAGCCGCAGAATTGAGGAGGAGCAGTAGACGATCTAGAAGCATAGCTTTAACTGATGAAGAGGTTAGTGTGGTCGAAGCTATACTGTTATTATTGTTATTATTATTATCATTATTATTATATATTATTGCTTATAAAGTTACCTCCAGGTTGTCTTTTCATCACAGTCGACTTGTGCCGAAATACTCTTGACCACAACTGTCTGTGCTGGCCCTCAATGTATAGGGCTATAGAACATTTTGCTTCACGTTACAGATGCCGCCACCACTTCCGACTGTCCCACCGGTGTCGAAACCTATTCGCAGTGCTCGCACCAAGGTGCAGCAGCCGAAGATGGATGTTAAGGACCTTCCCGTCGTCGATAGCAACGAGGAAGCTGAGGAGCCTGAGCAGACGAGTGAGCCAGCACCACAGCGTGTCACGCGCACCAAGGTGCGGCAGCCGAAGATGGATGTGAAGGACCTTCCCGTCGTCGATAGCAACGAGGAAGCTGAGGTGCGTGAACAAACGAGTGAGCCAGTACCACAGCGTGTCACGCGCACCAAGGTGCGGCAGCCGAAGATGGATGTGAAAGACCTTCCCGTCGTCGATAGCAACGAGGAAGCTGAGGAGCCTGAACAGACGAGTGAGCCAGCACCACAGCGTGTCACGCGCACAAAGACCCGACAGATGCTAAAGAGCAGGACTTCCCCGTGTTCTTCCCCTAGTGTTGCAGCCTGCAATCAGGTAGCTAATTCTGCTCCAGACGGTTTGGGTAAGGGTCGTCAGCTAGAAGAGAGTGAAGAAGAGAGAGGTGTGGCCACGCCGACCGAGGCTCGACCAAGGCAAACAACCCGAGCAGTTGACCAGAATGCACGGTGCCGCGCTGAGACGCCAGTTGACAGAGGCAGTTCCAGCCAAAAGAGCACTGATAACGAAGCTTCAGACTTCTGTACCCCACCAGAGCGGCCGATGAGAATCACTAGGTAGGGACCCTTTTGTGGCCAGTTCACAAGTCTGTCATTGCCATGCATACTCAATGTCAGCTTTTTTTCGAGTTGTTCTTTGCCAATGCAATGCGAGTATCTGCAATCCGTGGTATACCATTTTGTGGTTTTCATATGATCATCTTATACTAGGTCAAAAATGCCGAAGAAAGGTGTTGCTGCTGATGTTGCATCGGGTAAACCACCTATACACCCGGTGGCGATGACTGATAGTGACGGTGGAAAGCGCTCCTCAAGGAAGAGACCGAGTGACTCGCATCTGGTAAGCCACCATGGGCCAGGATGTGCGACTGTGTATGTGCTGCATGTGTGTCGACCGGTGCCGTTGTTGATTCATGATGTTATGTGTGCAGTCAAAGTAGCAGGTGAGATTAGTGTGATGAGTGTGTGCAGCTTTATTGTGTATGCAGTTCGTCCATGTACTCGCTGAGCTCGGAGACTACGTGACATCACCTGTTTTCGATCATTAAAACGGATAAAGCTCGCAACAAAAAGCCTATATATACCTACTGTGAGCATACTTGCAGTGTGCAAACATCACAAAATGTTCTCATTGAGCCAGAGAAGTGCTACAAACATTGGGATTTTCAAAATTATGTCGATGTTGTTATGTCACACAGCTAGCAGTAGCCCTACGCTAGCGCAAATAGTTCCTGGAACGAAAACACTGTATTTGTTTCTTGATTGCATAAGTAATATAGATAATGATATGATTTAAACAAATTTCACAATTTTGTACTGAATAAACATATAATATATATTAATGAATTATAACTTGTTTTATCATAGAAAAGAACTGTTAACGATCGCTCCTAAGAGAAGTAATTTCGGTTAGATTTTAAGAAGAAATGTTATGAAAGTAGCAATACAAATGAGTTCTAGTGAATTTTTGCAACATAGACGAGCTCACAGTAGGTCTATATATGCATTTAGCTGCGTGGTTAAGCAACTTTAATGAAGCAATAACTTACAAAATATGGAAAATGGGAATATTTCATATTGTTTCTTTTCATTTTGAAGTCGGGTTCTGCACGTGCAAAACAAGCACGTTTCAAGCACAATGGGCAAGCAACAAACATCATTCGGATGAGTAGAAAACCGAATGGAGGCAAGACATCGAGCGATTCTGACTCTGAGACTGTTGGAGATGGTGGGTCTGCAGACCGGCAACCTACACGCACGAGAGGCGCCCAGGTGGTGAACCCAGGTTCAGAAAGACGCATCACACCTAACACATGTCCTTCCAACAAGGTAATATTGGGCTTTTGTTTGTGTGTTTGGCTCACACGTGCATTGTGCAACCTTTGTCGCAAACCTTTGCACAAAATCTGTCAGACGTGTCAATATCAGTTAGCGAGAAAAGGTTGAATAATGTCATAAATACTGTCATCAATAGTAGTGTAGTTAGCAAATCTGTGTAGTAATCATATACAGAGAGCCTAACATTAAAAACATTTATTCTTCTCTTCTGTTAGATAATAAGACCTGGAGTAAAGACATTCATTGGCAGTGCTAGCAAAAGGCCAGCCAATCTGGTGGTACCCACTTCTTCTAATGGCATCATCTCTTCTTTTATAAGCCGTAATTCACCTAAGAAGGTGACGGTGCAAGTATGCTGTCTTATTCATATTTATGTTTCATAGTTGTTCTAACTCGAATTAATGGTGTTGCCTATTTCTACTAATATTGCATTCAAAACTAGCAAATAGATGTTTTCACTTCTCCTACTCATTCTTAGTGTGATTGAGCAATTGGTGATCTAGATTATCATTTCGTATAAAATTGTACTAATATAATGTTTGGACCTAACCCTCTGCTTACAATCCCATCATCACAATGTCATGTAAATGCTCCCCTTCAACTGGTGGAAAGCCTCAGATCCGCCGGTCGAGTCCTGAGCCGGTCGAGTCCTGAGCCGGTCGAGGCAGCCTGTCCTTTGAAAGCATGGGGAAAATTTTTGAAAAGGGCATTTTTCTACTGGTCTCGCGCACATTAGGAGAAAGAGGCGCGGCGGCAGCACGAGCTGAGGAGGAAGAAGGAGAAGGAGGAGCAGGCCGCTCGCAAGCGCCGTGAGATGCTGCAGGAGCTTGCGCTGGAGAAGAAGCGCAAGCGGGAGGAGAGCGCCAGGCGCGTGCTCGAGACCAGGCTCGCGCGGCAGCATGCCGAGCAGGAGAAGAAGGCTCTCCTCCTCGAGAGCAGGTTGCACCGGCGCAACCCGCAGGAGAGGGAGCGCCAGGAGAAGCTGCTGCAGGAGAAGCAAGAACTTAGGTAGAGAGCGACGATTTACTCCCCCCCTCAACAATTCAAGGGGAGATAGAACGCCATGGGAAAGATGAAGTTGATGAATGTTAAACCTACAATACATGCAGCACGTTTATTGCACATGTATTAGTTCTCTTTGTCTCAGTCATGACATAAGACAGCACTTGTTCTATTGTTCTATGCTAAGTTTTTGTTACACTGATGGTTCTAGGGGGGCCACATGAGGCCTGGCTTTATTGATCAACTAGCCCATTGGCATATCGAGTGCGTACTGGAAAGTTACACGCGTTACCTCTCGCTCATATTAATAGTCTATACAAGGCACGCATTACACGTTATGCTTTTGTTTCTTTATTGGTGCATAATTTTGACAGGATTAATGGCAGATGTACTGTAGATTGGGGGTAGTGGGACAGATCATGCATAAAGCAGGGTGCGGTGCCCCACTATTCCGCTATAAAATATTACTACATATTGCCCTTGCGGACCGCGCTTTTGTTCATGTCACCGCCTTGCATGTATGCAATAACATTACAATGCGGTGTTTCTTGTGCAGGATGCAGAGGCAGCAGAACGCACAAGAGAAGCGCATTCAGGAGAACGATCAGCGCTTAAATCGCATCCGGGAGCAGGAGGAGGAGAAGCTCCGGCATGACGCGATGTTTATCCGGAAGCGAGATTTTGAGGAACAGGAGAGGCAGGAGAAGCTGGCGGAACAGAAGAGGCTCCAGGACGAAAAGTACGTCATAGAACAGGGGAAATTCCCGAGATGAAAGCCTTAACTTGCGTGCGGGCTGAGTAACCGTGACATGGCACTACGGCCGCTTTTGCTATATTATAAGCTTTCTTAGCTTCCTACCTGCTTGTGCATTTTCAATTGGGTTCTAGTTGGTGTAGCGTTAAACTGGGTGAAACATTAATATTATATTTCTGTAAATGATATATATGCTCGATAGGCAGGCGCTTCCTCTTGTTATTATATGCTCAAATTACCATAGCACTGCGTACCAATACAAGGTTAGCTCCTCCCATACTAGTTTGCACATTGGGTAGCAGGGATGTTTCATGCTCATGTCCAGTTTCCATTTGTCTCTTCTGAAGTGATATTCATTTTTCTTGAATGTTACCAGCCATGTTTTTTTAGGTCTCCTTTCATTTTTGGCAGTTCCCAGCTGATCGCGGTGCGAGGGGTGTGTTCATGAGACATTCTCATTATATAGACTTTCAAAGCAAGTTATTCGTTCAGTTACGTTATCTTGAAGACAATTTGACCCATTTCTCTGAAGGACTGCTTCAGCTGTACTGGATTTTAAGGTTTCTTTATAGATAACGATGATGTAATACAATTTTTATTATTTTACACAGGTTGGCAGATTTAGAAAGACAGCGGATTGATGAGCTTGATCGGCAACAACGCATAGAGCAGGAAAAACAGAGGGAGTGGCAGCGACAGAAGGAAGAGAAGTAAGCAGTAATGTAGTTCGGCTAATGGGGGGGGGGAGATCTTTTTATTAGCCCATCTTCATAAACCTTTAAAAAATTTCAGGCAACGTCAAGACTAAAAGCAAATTTCGATATAGATCTATGCGATAAAACTAAGCCAAAGAAATGCCCGACTTTCTTCCATATACATAGCATTTTAAGAACATTTCATGACCTTTTGTAAATTATTATCTCTCAAATGAATCACAATTAAAATAATGTAGACAAATTAGGTCTCACCTATTAGCAAACATGTAATTGATTACTTCAGTATAAATATTACTATGGGGTTGTTCTGTTATGGTATATAAATTGCAAATAATGCAGCCACTTTCTTTCGTGTCGCAAATTCGTTTCCTTGAAACTGGCAATTTCCAGACAAGTGCATTTTATTGAGTGACGTAGTGGTTTTAGACTGGTACAGTATCTCTATTACTTAATGCAAGTTACTTATTAATAAAGTGTAGGCACAGGGTCTTGTAAGAAACAAGTTGCATCATCATGTAACTGCATCAACAAGAAGTCAACAAATAAATTCAATCGTTGCATATTTTGGTGAACGAAAGGAATGTACGAATGTTCTAAGACATATTAGCTGTACTGTAGACACTTGTTATTACGCAACCAATTCCAGTAAGTATTGTAATGGTCGGAAAGATACGAGAATGATTTGAAAGACTGTTTGAAATCATTTCTTTAATACTACAATCATGCTTTTAGGTAGGGTATATATTCAGGGATTTTTAACTTTAAATAGCCTACATTGTAGCAGCTCTTATGTTTAAAATGGCTGAAAACTACCTAGGACAGCATAGGCAAACATAGCCAACGCATTGTTACAAGTATATAAATTAAATATTCTGTTTTAGGGAATTGGTGTTGGAAAAGGAGCGTCAACAGAGAAAGCGGATGGAGCTGGAACGCCAAAGGGAGAAAGATAGACTTGCACAGAAGGAGATTGAAAAACAGCGAGAAATAGTAAGGAGTGTTCAGCTGTTCAATATGGAAACTTTGTTATTTAATCACTTGCTTCTCACATTCTCGATCAAACCTTTTTTGTTATTTTTTTATGGTTAGGCACGAATGTAGCGATTGTAGTAGGAACCTGATGAATTCCATCTGGCAGTCAGACCAATTCCTATGGTTCAATGGCAAGGTGGCAACCAACCAATTTTTTATATGTCATATAAGTCCGGACAAGATTGTTAAATGGTTCCATCTAAACCTGAACACAATGTATATAGTAGGCTCGCAACCTATGTAATTTTGGGCTCATTCGCAAACGCTTTTTGTTATTTGACTTTTTGATTACTCGTACCATTCAGTACAATTTCTAGAAAAACAGTTCTATGGTAACTGCTTAGTTTTTTATATGCCATCCAAAAAAACAGTTTCCCATTTTCGTTTTTGCGACGTGGGTATTTTTATCTATACATATACAATGTACGAATACTCGCAGGCACGTCAGCACTTGTTGAAGGAGGCTGAGGAAAAGAGGCAGGCTGAAGAAGATCGGAAGAGGCAAGAAGAGGTTGCCCGGCTCATTCAGAAACACAACAATGCATTGAAGGTTGTCAACAGTACTGCGAATCTCAACTCAACCTACAATAACAGCAGTGCAATGGGACAGCAGGCAAAGAAGAACAACATTGACTCGTAAGTATGTGTGTAGTGGAGGCTTCCTTCTCCATGCACACTGCCAAGCACGATTGATAAAACATCTCTGTGATCATTATTTTGCTTTGCATTTATTGTTTAACAATGTCGTTTAGAGCTGAGGGATGGGAAATACATCATATATTGTTTGATGATTCTGAAGCGAGCTGCGCTGAGCCTAAGCTGTTATTTATAAACTGATGTTAACTGCTTTCAGATATGAGCTAACTCCCAAGGCAGTGAAGCCCAAACTGAGAAAGACTGACTGTTACAACATCAATGATTTGCACTCAGATGATTCCACCGACAACGAAGACGAGCCCCGCAAGAGAATACCTGACTGGGCACAAGGTAAACTATTTTTCATCAAAACCTGATTCAATGTGATTAGCATTAGAGCCAGCTCCCCGGAACATGCTTGCATCGTGTCTTCTATTGGTTATCAATTCCACAATGTTCTGGCTGTGAACAATTGTTTGTCTTTTAAATAGTATCAGGTCCATGCTAATCACGCTATGGGCTGCTTATCTATTTTATAACATTATTGCATCTCCACTTACTACATAGATTTACCCAACAGAGGTCATCTCATAGGAAATGGTTTTCATTGGTCCAGGAATAATTAGTGTAATTTTTTTATAATCTTATTCGTCTCGTACTGCTTTGTGTAACAACAACTTTGTGTAATACAACTGTTTATAGTAACTATGTGTAGTGTATATAGCCCTGACGTATGCTCTGACGTAACCGTAACACTAACACGAAAGAGAAACAGAAACAGAAACGCAAACGTTCGCATCGTAGCAGCTTGCGGGGTCTTTTTGAATAAAGCATCATGGTGGTTGGAGCCGAATTTATTGTCTGAGTAATAATGTGGTTAAATCCGGTCGTAAAGTTTACACTATGCATTAAGCTTACATCGTGAATGCATAACTTTACGTATGAAATTTACCGCCTAACATATCAAACTGCCTCCAACACACACGTACATTTAACTAGTATTAGCAACACCGTTCATATTTCCCAGGAGTTCAGCTGAAGACAGCAATCATCAGTCAGCACTACGAAATGCCAGACATCAACGAAATCTTTGACGTCATGGACATGCCCAAACTGGAGGACATGTTTGTGAAGCTGCGAGCGCGATTCCACAAGCGCACCAGCTCAGCTCACTGGCGCACGCCGATCCAGCATCCTGGTGACGAGTACTCGTTTCTCGACAACAGCATGCATCCGTAATCATCCATGCCCGGGAGGGAATCCCCGTGTAATATGTGCTCGATGCTGTTATTGTTATGTAGGCTAGATTTCACCGCGTTCTCGATTTATAAAGCTTCTGTGTCTATCGTTTGCGGATAAATGCTGTTTCGTTTATTGTCCACGTAACTAATTGTTGCTGCGCTTAACAAACGCATGGTTGTACGGAACTAATGGAACTAATGGAACTAACGGAACTAATGGAACTAACGGAACTAATGGGTGTTTATCCTGTGAGATGTCATAGCTATGGTTAACTTTATTTACTTACTAGAAGTGGTCAACTGCTGTTTGAGCATGTTTGGCTCAACTTTTTATGTGAAAATTGTTTGTGCTGTATGATAGGAAATTTCACAAATACTACTGCTCTCTTGGTGAATTCCATTACAATATTTAGAACGTCTCAATTCTAGCCAGTCTTGTTCCTGTGAACAGCAATTCATCCAGGGATTCCCATCTTGGTGCTCCTGTTGATACCATGAAAACCCATAAAACCTTTTCTTTGATATTTTAACCCCTTCTCTAGTGATGAGAAAACAGACAATTATTTGTAAATATTGCAGGCGTGTGCACGTGTATTATTATTGCTTGATCATGGTTTAGGCATGCTATCTGCCTAAAGGCATTTAGGATTTAGTAAGAAATCAATCCTACATGCAAATTCCTAAATGGTGGGATTGGTTAATACAGTTTGTATTAAATACTATTATTCAAACGAAAGGGTCATTGATTCACATGCAATTGAAAAAACTGCAAAGATGTTATGGAGAGCACAAAGGTTGCTATCTGAGTTCTATAGAATCGGTCCTATAATTTCACCACTAAAACTGAATATGGGTGGTTTTTTGCCATGTTTCGTGCTGCACTATGTTCACTTATCTTCACTTATCAATTAATTTCTAATTATTTTCCTGTTTTCTGTATTTTTCTATCTTTATCTGTTTAACATTTTTTTTTCAATTAACGCAAATATTTACATGATTTATTTACAACATTTTAATAACAACAATTAATTTTTACAACAATTAAAAATTAAATTTTATTTATGTAATGTATTATCCTCTTGCTATTCATTTAAGTGACACTTGCCCTTGTCTCAACGACCTGTAGTGAGATGAATTTAGAATGGAGGAACCGTAGGTATATCTTTTGGTGTCAGGGCTACAGTTAGAGTTTGGAACTTAAAGCGTATTGCTATGCTAATAATAATAGATCTATTATTATTCACTCTTGATATTATATCAGTTTATTCTCTCAGTTGAGTAGAAAGTTCATCATATCAATAGCACATAAACTGTTTATGTGCTGTTGGTCATTTGTATAATTATTATGACATTATTGGTTAGTCAGATTAATAAACAATTGTATGTGAATGTACAACGTGTGGAAATCTGCATTGCTTTCGCGCACGCGCGATCTTTCTCTCTCTCTCTCTCTCTCTCCTCGCTCGCTGTCTCCTCTCTCTCCCTCGGGTATATATTATCAGGAGTAGATAATAGAAGATCTTCTATTATCTACTCCTGATATTAATTATGTATATGTCGCTTGGAGTGGTTGCTGCCCACGCTTGTTGCTAGCATACATTACAAGCACACTAAATCCTTGTAAGGCATCTAAACTAACACACGGGCGTTCGGCTCATAGGGTACTGCCGGAACGTACCCTGGGTACGGTCCGGTATACTTGAACGTACCCTGGTAACTATCTGATATGGTTAGGGAGTAGGCGTAGGCGACTCCCTAGACTCGTTAGTGGAGTAGGCGAGGTACGGTCCGGCATATTAGATCAGTGGCGTACTAGTCTGTGGGCTTATGTATAAAAAGCAAAATTTTGGGTAGATTCTTGGCACCCATGTTTAAACACCCCTAGAAACATCACTGATTAAGAAAAAAATGGGTGCCAGTTTTTCTATTAACATTTAGGGCCGCCATTTTGAATTTCAAAATGGCCGCGTTTTTAAAGCGATTTGTATGATTTTTTGGTATTCAACATTATTTTAAACATATAATCAAAATGTGTTCATAGAGTTTGAGTACCAAATGCATTATAGTTGAGACAACCTTTCATCTGAACTCTGTTTGCATGGATATAAACAGGTTTTTGACGTTATTATCAAAAAATATATATATAATCTTACCACGCATTTTTAAATTTTTGAACGCAATCGGACTCTATTTGAGTTTTTAACTTTGTATTTCTAGTCAAGACATATATCTAAACAAGTCATAATTTTATAAATGTTTTAAATAATTTAAGGTCTTGGCAAGAAGCAGATCTGTACAGTAGCGTGACTGTATCACAGATTTTAAATGGCAATCATTACAACAGAGCGATCGAAGCACACCAGTTAACTCTTCAGGCACTCTTCGATCTCTGGATGGAGAAATTCCTTGAGGATCAACTTGTTGTACGTGACGCCTTAGTAGCCAGCGTAAAGCAGCTGACTGAAGCATGCCGAGATAAGACAGGCGTTGCAGAAGCGCACTAGGCATTCAAAATGGATATAGAATCCTTCAATCTTGAGAAACAGCTACGAGAGTTTGACGCTAGTCGTAAGACAGACCCAATGTATAATGGGCTAGGATGTACATGCGGCAAGTGATGACACTGTTACAGTTCCAGATGGCTATACGGGAAGGTAACTGGCACCTCTACTTGGTATCACTTGAGCATCTTTGTAAGTACTTCTTTGCATATGCCAGGCTAGATTATGCTCAAAACATTCCAGAGTTCATCGCACGCATGGATGCCATAAAAACCTCTAATCCAGAACTATGGCAGAGCTTCACCAATGGTGAGTTTGCAGTGAATACCAGCAACCGT